CTCCGGGATAAGCTAGTGGCTATCTGGACTCAGTTGCTAAGTGGAAAAAGCAATGGCGTTTGAAACGTAAGATACTAAGTTCGAGTCCCTGGGTGAAAACCAACCCTGGGATGCAGGTACATCCGGCTGATAAGTCCCAAATAGAACGAAATACGCGTCCTGGATTTCACTGCTAGCCATCATCCATCTGTGCTTATAATGATTGTGGCTTAAGGCGATATCGAGGCGATCCGCAGAGGGTGCATACATACTATATATGAGACTAACCAATTACGGTCCTGGGAAGATTCAAACAGCTAATACAAAAATGAATGTCTTTAAAATGTTTTTCAAAATTTCACCAATCCATATTTCATTCGTTTTAAGTTTAAATAATTGGGACGGCGGATGGTTATACCATAGGTTGTTTATATTAAACTTTCTTTTCTAAAAATAAATTTCAAACATACTGCCTAATACTAGAAATTTCGTCATCCAGAACGCTCTAAAAAGTATGAAGAGAGATGAATAGATATTATTCCATTTCGGAATTCGATATCTCGAAATATTGGAAATATAATGAAGTTGGAAGTAAGGCAAATTCTATTCCAAATCAACAGTTTAGAGAAGTTATTCTTGTTGTGAGACTTTTAAGTCATGATTTTCACTAAACACTACGTTATGGCTGTACACTACTGAAGAGTAACCACAAACTAGGAATAATGAGCTATTCAGTGTTAGCTGGTTTTTAGAGATTTCTTAACTGATATCAACTCATGAAAAAGATTATCTTCATATCAGCTACTCCACGTATCTTTTATTTTAATTTTTTCACTTGATGTTTATATACTTCCAGGTGTAATTCAACTAAGAAAAAGAATAATCAACTTGTCTAAAATCTGTTAATTGTTTATCGAAAATCATTCAAGTACTCTTAACGTTCAAAATCAGTTCAAAAATAAACAACGTTAAGTATACATGACAACATAACACAATAAGTCTACCTCTTTATGAAGATATCTTGTAGTGATTTGAAAGAATCTTGGTAGAATATCAACTGTGTTCAATTTATTTAAAGTTATCTCGTCGTATTTTGACTGTTATGCTCAATGAATTTAAAACAGTCTCTTATAGTGTTTAACTGTTTATAAAAGTGGAAAATAGAAGTATTTCAGATCGGATTTCAGTTGATAACAACAACAGAATAATACATTCATTCTATTTGTTGTTATTAAATTTATATTGTGGTTAACAACAAATCATTGTTATCAGGTCGTGGTTGATTTTTACGATTATGAGAGGCTGGTATATACAACTGAGTAGTCGCAAATAGAATAAAACGTACATTCTGCATTGCAGTTAGCTACAGTCCAAGCAACATTCCGAAAAGATATATATGTTGAAGCTATAGTGTAGCAATACTGATTTATACTTGTGATGGCTACATAAAAAGCAAGTAAAGTAGTGAGCCAAAAGGACTGTCAAAAATAAATTTTTAACTGGCATCATACTAAGACAATGACAACATCGAAGGAAGAGAGCACTATCATGGGAAATAACTAAAGTTTGAATACCTAAACTATCTTGATACCGGTCAATAGGCTGTATGGATTTGTTTTTTGATCAAGACTAGAAATTTCTTGATTTTATTCATTGAGAGAATAGTTAAAAGTAAAGTCCTTTGTGTGACTGGCTCGTGATAACTTTGATGAGATTATTTTAATTCCTGTACTTTATTTCTAACGATTTGAAACAAGTTAACATAATATTAGAAACCAGTTGTCAGGAGTGCTATAATTATTATTGACGTTAGATGATCCTTATCCTAAATTATAAATTGATTGAATTTAGAAGTTCGACCGATTCGACTTCGTACTCTAAAGGCTGAGCACTCACTTCTTACTGATAGGGAATCCTATATAAAAAGGACCTATGTAGTACTCCTTGGTTTTCATCGGTACCGAAACTTAAGTCAATCCTTCAAGAATACCGTCTATAAAGAGACTAAAGAACCATTCGAAAATTGGCATCACCCATATAAAGCATTGGTATTCGAACGAAGAATATGTCTAACCACTAAATTCATTTCATAATCTACAGTGATGAGCATACATTGTTGATCGTAACGGATAACCGTATTTAAGACAATAAACTTGTTTTCGAATAACTGATTACGCATTTGAAATCTGTAATGAAGTTTGTTGTCGTTGAAAATTGTTAAGATTACATATATATGTTTATTCTATACTGGAGTAGGTTTGTTATGTAAATAAAATTTGAACTTAATAGTGTAGTGTCATTAGTTTTAGCCCATAATATATCTTATTCTAGTTTCCGGACATTCCATTCTATTCATTCTACCTGAGTCATGTTTTGACCTTGTTAATTATTCGCTTATTATCCTTGACTGTTTTCATATGAGCGTATGTGTGTGTACACTTCATGTCCCATGACTCATCACATGTCTGTAGTTTATTTTGTCTGCCTATAAATATTGAGTAATGCCCGGCTTGAATTGGAGTTGGCTTCCCAGCCATCTTCCATAGGCTCTAAATGGAGTCAGATCCACGGGCACATAAGATCCAATATATCTAATTTATCGATCTATTTATCCTGTATATTTCTTCATTTGACATGCATTTAATTTAGTTGTTGTCAATATATATTTGAACAGTGTATCTAGTACTGATCATATTTACTATCCCTTATATTAATAATTTCCCTTCATGTACTGTATAACATTCGATCGGACATTTACTATGTTTATTATTATTTCTCTAAACATGTTTCCAATGTTGATTTGTGCTATTGAGGTGGCCCGGGGATCTATCTCCTATTTAGAGCGTATGGATGTTTGCTATCGCTGATTCTCGTATATAATAGTCGACTTAAATCGCGTTATCCAATAACGGAATTAAATAACTCGAATAACGAGAATTGATTTGTGAATACATATATTTTGTATATGAAGTGAATGAAACAGAGCCAAACAAAATGACGCACAGAGAGGATGGCTGGGAAGCCAACTCCAATTCAAGCCGGGCATTACTCAATATTTATAGGCAGACAAAATAAACTACAGACATGTGATGAGTCATGGGACATGAAGTGTACACACACATACGCTCATATGAAAACACTCAAGGCTAATAAGCGAATAATTAACAAGGTCAAAACATGACTCAGGTAGAATGAATAGAATGGGATGTCCGGAAACTAGAATAAGATATATTATGGGCTAAAACTAATGACTAACACTACAGATCAATTAATAACAGATTTGATTACAAATGTTTTGGTTTGAGGCAAACCACTAGTAAGAAAATAGATTCAACATGCTCTTTTTGAACTGATTGCTTTGGTTTTGAATTTGTATTCATATCGCTTGTAATGGAGGGGGGGGCAAAGTTTAACTTACACCTCCGTGTATTGCCCTCTGGATAATGGGTGATCTTTCTCCCCATGAACTAACGTAAGCGGCAACAGCGGAGAGTGCAATGGCCAACCACTTGTATTGTTTAATGATTTGGAGCTAGTTAGTTTTTGACAGATTATTAATGACATGGTAGATTTTTTAAAAAAAGTTATATTTCGTCTAATACTCCATCTGGACTAGATGAGTTAGAATAGAACAATTGTCAATACTATATATCCACTTAGCAACACTGAAAGCTATTCTCAAGTACATGTTGAACAATCTTTAATTACTTCTTAGTTGATGATTTACTGAACAAATAAACGCTGATACAAAAAATTATATATATATATATATATATATATATATATATATAGCAAATGTCCCCCTCTATTTCAACCATATTTTCTGAAGAGATAAACAAGTTTTAGACGGTCAAAACAGTAACGCTATCAATCAATCAACTCATTTATTTATCAGCGAGATTATAATTTATGGACGAACCAAGTACGTATAAGATAAAGGTCTTGGATTTTGGCATTACATTCATTCATCCATTTGGTTAAATAGAGTTTTGGCATTATAGCTGATATCAGTTCGTGATGAAAGCCTTAAATCTGATTCCTGACCATAATCATCAACTGTTAATGATAATTTTAATTCCTCACACAGATTTATAACCGTAATTTAGTTCTAGTTATTAGATGGACACTCACAAAGTCACTTTAGTGTCGTTCAAAAGTCGTTCATAAATTATAGTCTCACATTATCTATACTTATAATTTCACTTAGTTGTCCCAACAAAGTGATACTAGAACTATGGGAGGAAATGAATATTTTTCCGTGCTTAACAAATCATCAAATATATAATCGTGAATTATTCAGAATGTAAATGAAGAATTTGACCGGAGCTAATCTAAACTGACTTAATATATAATTCTCTGGATTAGATATTACCTCTTTTTTGTTGTTGTTGTTAATTCTTGACTCATTTTTCAAGCATTACTAGTTTTTGGTTTCTAATTATCTAAACTATTTATAACTGTTTAATAAAAAGAAATGTGTGAGTTCCATGTTTCTTTTTCTTCTTCTTCATCATCATCTTCAGTAGTATTTATTACTTTATACTGTTCGTTATTTCTGGATCACTATCGTTATGTATGCATCATTCAGTGTTTTTTCTTCTTCTTCTTCTATATTTCAACCAATCAAACAAAGTAAATTGAACATTTAAGAATATGTGGGAGATTTACACTATAATATGATTGACTAACTAAATAGTTATAATGAATTTTATCCAATAATGTAATGACAAAATATGATTGTATTATTTGTGTATTTAACGATGTGTATGTTTACTCTGAATGGATAAAGAAAAAAGCATATCTTTTCAATTTTCATGTTTATCCTTATATTAGAAGAAGAAGAAGAAGAAGAAGAAGATTCAAATGTATTACAGTTGATAGATAGTGAGAATGTAATTACACTATCACCATTCTAATATGAATGATAAAGTAATAAAATAGTATAAATGAAAATATTAAACTATAAATATGGATCTAATTAAATCTGTAATGATTATTATAATAATGAAAATATAAGCCGAATGCAATCATCATTGGATAATCAAAATCAAATCAAAATGATTTATAGGTATGTTGTTAAGTAGATGAATTACATCTTAACATTTTATCATATTCTTATTATAAATAAGAAGTCCAGACAAGTCTGCTGGATGAAATGTTGGAATTATTTAAATTTCAATCGCTGAGATTATTTCAAACATAATTTTCATATATAATGACTCCTATTTACTCGGCGTCCAATTTCTGTCAGCTCACTGAAGACAATGGTATACGGTGGAGCAACTTCGTGGATTAGTTAAAGTTAGACATTAACACCACTGGATGCCAGTTCAGTGGTCTAGTTGGTTAAGCGCTTGGCGCGAGACTGATAGGTTCTGTCAAACTATTCGTTCTAATCTTGACGAATATTCGTATAAATTTGTTTTTTTCATTTTTTTCTAAATTTTATTTATTTAAATATTAATTAATTTTATTGATTTTGATGGAGTTTTATTTAATGAGCTGGATGGTTTCCTTGTGAAGCTCTCATTATTTCTCTGAACAACATCATCAGCACAAAACTTCAGATAGAAGTTTCATGATCAAACTATCCAACTCAAAGAACAAAACTCAATTGAAATTATCCGTCTGAGCTAGAAATCTTCGCCATCATTTATAAAATTTATTGATATCAATTAGGTGCCAAATATATGTTGTACTATTAATGGTTTGCTGTGAAATACTTCTACATTTTCTATTTCATGTTTATTTTATATTTCTATTTTCTCCAAATAAATCAAAGGATTACTGACTAATATAAGTAGTCTTTCATTAGGTGAAAATCACTTTAGGTTATTAGTCAAATGATATTACAAAATTGAAATAGAAATTAATTTCTTTTTTTATTCAGTGATAAATTAACTGATAATGTAATTTAATTTAATTAGTCTGATCAATTAGTTGAACTAATTTGTATCAATCAGTATGGAGTTGTGGAGATTAAGATCATTAATCGATCAGTGTTAGACTACCATTGAAAACTTGGAAGTACTGGACGGCCGGTTCGTCCTACTATGAAACTCCTCATCAATGCGCATCCACGATCATGCACTCGGAACTCAAACTAGAAACCATAGGCCTCGTGCCAATACACTTAACCTTTAGACCACTGAGCCGGCATCTAACAGTGTTAATGTCTAGCTTCAACCAATCTATGAAATTGAGCAACCATCTTCCATTGTCTATGGTGAGTAACTGTCTCACAATTGAAACGGACTGGTTTCATTGGTCACGGCTTTTCACTAGAACTCCAAGAATTACCTCTCGAAGCTAGTCACCGGAGATAATAACTCGTGAGATTGTGATATCACACTAAGCAATTATTGTTGAATCAATTAATGCACTTATGGATTATGTTCGGTGTGTGATGATCAGAAAACTTTGTAACCAGTTTACATGTACTGTGTATACTTTAAGAAGAAATCAATACTGTGGAGTTTCATATTTTATTTAAAATTACGACAGATATAACTTACATAACAAGAAGTTTACGCTTATCACTATAAAAAAAAACAGACACAAAAATAACATTTTATTGCTTTTTTATTTTTATACTGTTTAAAATAACTTAAAGATAAATATTTAACATCTGTGAAGAATTCACTTGAAAAGTCATTAGAGCTAATTAAGAAACACAAGTGATCCAATATAAATAACCTGAAAATACATCCGATTCACTGATGAAAATTGATTTTATTATTAGAAATTTTCACAGGTTGAAATCATGAGTCAGTTGAAGCTAGACCACCATTGAAAACCTGGAAGCACTGGACGGCCGTTTCGTCCTGGTATGGGAATCCTCAGCAGTGCGATATATAATTATTTATTCTGGTTAGCGTCGTTTTAATAAGGCTGTTTTCTACGGAATGAGATTGCTGACTCCATGCTCAACTCTCTTCCTTTATCCGGGCTTGGGACAGGCAGTAACCCTGGAAGGGCTACTGGCAACCTATGATTCTCCACGAAGGGTAACAAGAGAGACAATCAATGTACATTTAGTTTTATTTTAAATGTTTTTTAATTAGCAAGAAAATGTAGAGGAAATCAATTTACTTTGAATAAATTGCCTGAAAGAAATGCTAATTTTTCTCTTAGAAAATTTCAGAATGTAATAACTCTTTTTTGGATATTTATACGTGTAGAACACTTGACAGATTTGCTTTAAATCTAAATGATACGATAAAAATATAAAATTTCTTATATTTTTATTATTAAATTGATATCATGAGTGAATCATTGTTAGACTACTATTGAAAACCTGGAAGTACTGGACAGCCATTTCATCTTAGTATGAAACTCCTCACCAGTGCGCATTCATGTTCTCGCACGCGGGACTCGAAATCAGGACCTTCGATTTAACATTAATCCATTCATGATATCAATCTAAACTCAACAATATCCACAATTCTATACTAATAGCTTTTATGATTATACAATTTTGAGTATTTAGACAGATCATAAACTTTAAATTACAATACTTAACTAAATTTTTCAGAGATAAGCTAAAATTCATATTTTTAAGAATCCAAAAGAAAAAAATTAGACAACGGATTAAAATGGCCTCCAAAATGTATGAATTACAAGAGTGACAAGACGCTAGTTTATGAATATAAGTTATTATTAAGAAATGTAAACCGACCGATGTTATTTTCATCTTTATTATCAAAATACAGAAATGAATGTAATACTACATAACACATAAGTATGTTAACGAATCAAAGATTGATTAAGGTATTCAATATATAACTATAATTAAAGATAGATATGTATTTAACCATTTGATGTAACATAGTTGAATTATCATTATATTAGCTAATTATGTAATTTAAAGTTAATGTAATTAATTAGAGACTGAAAGGTTTGTTAATAAATTTGTTGAAGTTGGCAAATTAGAGAAATTTCATTAAAAGAAAAGTATATAAAGAATTTTATAACCAAGTAATTTAATTAAGATTTGGTTAAATCAAAAACAAATCCACATTTTATTCAATCATGTACTAGTCAGTAGACAGAATATTCTAATTTGTCGATGATATTGATTAATGATTGCACTATATTACCAATTAAAAAGAGTTGATTAATAAGATCTTTATATATTTCAATTATATTCTTAAGTTGTAAAATCATCAAAGTACTAGTAATAGTCATTAGTTGGTTATGGTGACACTTGAGGAGGAAGCCAAAAGAGGAAGTTTAGAATTGAAAGTCGATGTAGGAGAAATAATAGGAATTGAAGAGAGAGGTTGATTATGAATACAGTGGTCTTGAGTGCTGTTAGAAGTATGAGAGCGGTTACCACTTCCCGGTTTCCCTCACCGTGGGGAGTTCTTCCGGAGGTGCCTGTAAAGGAAAACGGATTAGATGTGGTCTTAGTGACCTGAGAGCGTGACCGTAGTGCTCAAGGTCGGTCACACATGACCTTTTTATGAGTAATTTTGTGTATAGCTCCGTACTTGTTGAGACCTTACCGCCGGAGACGGATATCCGTGGGATAAGGCGAGGTGTGCATTTTTAGGGTCGACCTTTTCTAACCCCACCCCTCCTTGTGGGAAGGCAGCATCACTTTCATGCTGGTTGTCTGAAGGAAACACCTTACTGCCGTCATACCTCTGTACAGTCAGCAGTACGACTTCGCCTTCGAACCTTGAGTTTGTTGCCTTTAGTCTTACCGTTCTTCAACGGACCTGTCTGGCATGGTAGGGCCTTGAGAAATGGTTGTTTCAGTCAGTATAGCTCGATTGGTTGATCACGACAGGTAAGCCAGGACACTATGTCAAGGTAGCAACAACGGTCCCTTGTTCGTCTTGTTGTATTAATGAAGTATGGCACATATGTGCCCGGTCCTACGTTGACACTGACTGACTGACTGAATAGTCATTAGTTGAACTTGGTCAAACAACTGTCCTAATCCTCTGTAATTTTTGACGATTCCTCTGATAACATCAAATTCTGATAAAATATTCAGTTAATGAATAATAAGAATGTAGGCGGTAAATTTGTAAATTTATATGAAATTGGTCATAAGCAACTTTCTTTTTTTCTTTCAAAAACAAGATCTACATTTTCATTATCAGTAAGTTGTTTTTTGTCTTATTCTTATTTCTTCAATATCTCAACTAAATATGTTTATTATCTACCAATTATGAAGCTAATAAAAGAAACACAATATTTGAAATCGAAGGAAAACTGATAAATTGTATTTATCAATTCATCTGTTTTTGGCATTCATCAAAGGTTAAGATCATGAGTCAGTTGAAGCTAGACCACCATGGAGAACCTGGAAGCACTGGACGGCCGTTTCGTCCTACTGTGGGACTACTCAGCAGTGAGCATCCACTACCTCGCCCCCTGCGATGTTCGTACCCAGGACTTGACCACTAGACCACTGAGCCGGCATCCAACGGTGTTGATGTCTAACTTCAACTAACTTCATCAAACGTTTTATTTAAATGTAGTAATCAATGAAAAATTTACATTTTTTTTTGAAGGGTAATAATTTGTTTTGGATAATGAAGTTTTATTGTTATTGTAAACAACGATAACAAACTGATTTTTCAATAGAGATAATATGATCGAAATTCAAATAGTATTACTTGTTATTTAAATTTGCTTGTTTACTGAAAGAAATTAATGTATATTTCCACTTAAAGTATTTTGTAAACTAGTGAAGTGAACGGGAACACAAATGGGGATAACCAATATGTTTTAAAACAAGATTACAGAATATCTTGATACAATATGAGAACCATTTGTAAATTTAATTCATTTGTCCTTCACGCTCTATATGATGCTTCCGGTTCACAATTTTATTTCTATTTCCTTTTATATTCTCTTCAAGTCGATCTTGTTAACCTTTTTGCTGATATCCATTCAACTTTTGATTTGTGTAACATACTGTGGTGTGTGCTACTGATGTCGACAGATATAAGCAGTATGTATCATCAATCGAATGTGAAACGCCTAAAGGAAGAAGGTTACGATAAAAAAAAGACAACGAGAATAGAGAATGATTGATATGGAATCAAAAGA